TGGTTTATCAAGGCAGGTAGTGATATCTGCCATTCTTGTGGAATCTCTGTCATTATAATGTTTACCTTGACTGGAATAGATAAATGAAAATTGGGGGGATATTTGTGACAAATGGGTCAAAATATCTTGTTTTAATGTTGTGAATGTAAAGACCCTGTAGAAGTGTCTGGAATAAGTTACCGGAGCCTAAAGGGCAATGAAAAAATCATTTTTTTAAAAACAAGTTGGGATGGTACTTCTTTTTTGAAGTAAGTGATCAATGTACATTTGCACAAATATTCTAAACAAATTCAGGAAAAGCAACTCACACAAATGCTAAATGATACAAGACAAATATATGGATAACAACTTCTTTATTTGTTTCATGCTAAATGGTTTGCAGGGGAAGGGGTAGAGTCAAAAGTAGCCCAGTTTAATCTGACATTAGGACCCTGGGACCTTTGTTTTCCACCATGTAATAGATTAGTTGGGATGCGATGTTGACTTGACCCAGTATAAACACCACCATGTTTGTAAGTGAGGCTTTGTGACATTTTGATCTGGGAACAGCCCTTGCTACAATAGTGTCAATAATATCATTGCCCAACAAAGAAACGGAGGACGCCTGTAAGTGCGAAAAAACTGCTATAAACCTCAGCATCTCCCTAGGGCTAGGTAACCCTAGTCCTCAATAGACAAAGATGTAGCAGCACAGGGTAGACCACAGTGACCAGCTTTTGTTTCGGGGCGTGATACTCCGTCCCGGACACTGCCTCCCCACACCTGCCCAGCCACGCTTCTTTATTCGCTTCTTTATTCCCTGACCGCTTTCCAGCACATGCTGCAGGCAGGAATACTTGCCCTGCCTGACTCATTATATACTTGACCTCATTCAGTAGATGGTATATCAAGCTGTGTTCATCAGAGCGAGGACAATATTCACCCTAGAGAGACAGCTGGACAGTGAATAATTGATAGGGACCCCCATGCACCACTGGCCTACATGTACAGTCCATACAGCTTAGTGGTAGCATTATGCTTACAGCTGAACCCAGTGGGCATGACCTCACGGCCTATCCATGCCATCAGCTACATGCCTTCCGATGTTGGCCTGGCAGTATTGTCTACTCTCCAGACTATTTATAATGATACCCTGTTGGCCAGTCCTGGTATGGCCAGACAGGTCAGGCAGTGTCGGGTCAGCTCAGGTCATGACCTATCCCAAGGTCATTTTGCCTCGACTCACTTTTCCTTGTCTGGGGTTATTGGTGAGGGCTGGGAGCAGTTGTTTGGTAGATAGTGTGTTTGATTTATAGGATACACCAGTGTGTGGGCTAACACCAGTAGAGCCATGATAGAAAAATGTTTAGCTTGCTCCTTGTGAGTAAACCTTGTTTCTCTTCGAGAAGAAGAAGTATTAGTTTCAACTTGTGAGATTGGATGGCTTCCAATGACCCTCAGCTGCAGATGTTTTCAACTTTTTTTTTGCGGTTTGTCAATAAACAAAGAAAATGAAAAAGGGAGGTGTAGCTTTAATTCTGAAATATGTTCCAACATGTGTTTTTTTTATTTACATGGTAAGCAGATGTAAGAAAAAGATAGCTGTAAAGCATGTAAAACATATGAAATTGTTTCAGTGTCTACAATGTCTATGTGGTTATGGAACATAGGATGGATCAATAGTTTTATTTACATGTTATGGTTTTTCTGTATTAGGAAATGGGACAGGTTATTGAACAGTTGTAGTTATTATATCGTAAAGTCAGATATGTATTCATGGTCAGAGCTACATGTAGTCATATAGCAGGGCTGACCATGTATCTTCACATTTTGTAAAAGTCACTTTGGTATGCCTGTGATCTTTGGACATAAGAACTTATGAACTACTTACTGTATTGAGGTTGAGGGGCGGTGGGGTAGCCTAGTGGTCAAAGCGTTGGCTCATCACGCCGAAGACCCGGGTTCGAATCCCCACATGGGTACAATGTATGAAGCCGATTTCTGGTGTCCCCCGCCGTAATGTTGCTGGAATATTGCTTAAAGTGGCGTAAAACCAAACTCAGTCAGTCAGTATTGAGGTTGCTGTTGAGGACTGTTGTACTAGCATGGGTGTATCTAGAAGTCATCATACATGGATATTCAGCCTCAGCACATGTCAGTAAGACTTCCCAAATTGGATTTAAATATACCCCAGCTCATGTTATTATCTTACTTGTGGTTTTGTAGAAGTACAGTAACAGTTTATCATAGACAACAGGAGAGGAGGCATTAGTGCATATTTGTACATTATTGCCATGTAAGGACGCAGTATGAACTTTTAAGAAATATCATTTTTGAACAAGATGACAGAATATGCCTACCAAAGACACTTGGTGTAGAATCCGAAATTCATATCAAGCTAATAAAATTTGGACATACAAAAAACTGAGTTGATGTGACTGGTAGCAAATAACCAAGGAAACTGGGTTTATAATGACATTAATCCTATATATGTATTGAAGTATATTCTATAACTGATGCAATGTCTTTGTCAAAACATGGCCAAAGTGCACTATACATACCTTAAGAATGTAAGACACTAAATACTTACCAGCTCCACGTTCATATTGATCCCCTAAAAACAAGTATTCATGGAATCTATTTCAGCTTGAATGCAGGTTGTCTATTCTAAGACAAGTATTTTGGTTTACAAACACTTTTTATGTAGAGTTTCCAGATTAAAAAATGCTATTAGTGGATATTCCCCGAACAGTGGATGAAAAATGCTTTAACAGAAACGATGTGGTTGGTTTCCTCAGAGCTTTACGAATATGAAGTATTGACCTGCAACAAGAGTTGCTGTGGTTGTTCACACTAGGTGGTCACAAGCACAAAGCAGTTGTGTAAAATATTGATGAAATAGATCTAAAATATAAAGTGTACCACCGAAGGGCCATGCTTCTCATGTGGTAATGGAGGGAATTTGATGTCGTTTCTGTTCACCTGATGTTAGGTGTAATTAAATTAGGGATGTATAAATATTTTGTTTAGCTGTAATTGTGAGAGGAATGCACGACTGTAAAGATTGGGATGAGGCCGAGTTTACTGCCAGTATGCATTAGGCCAATGGCTGCTGTTGAATATACAGACACCTGTGAGAACAGCTGTTGCAGGCAAATGTTTTTTGTGTCCCCTTTGTTTGAGATTGTTGAAGCTCATTGTATTATAAGGTGAATGAATGAGTTGGGCTTCATAGCGATATTCCAATATCATAGTGGGAATGCCAGAATGGGCTTTCCACATTGTACCCATATGGGGAATTGAACCTGGGTCTTCATCGTAATGAGAGAATACTTTAACCACTCTGCCCGCTAACCTCATGTAACATACGGAAATATATCATCAGTGATGGGAAATATGAAGGATAACCTACTGTTCTACATGACTCTGAAATGATCTACTAGCTCTATTTGACAATGGCTTGAGAATACTTGTTTGGACAATCTGAAAATAGATTTTTCCACCATCATTGTTATGTTATACATTCATGCTTGAAAACGATACAAGAACCTGTATCAAAATGTCGTGCTCTAGAATTAAAGAAGTTGTCATCCATATATATACTTGTTCTATCTATATACATAACATTGCAATGATGTATTCTGACATTTCATGCTGCATTATGCATAAGCATGTTAAAAGATAAGTAAGTTAAGAATATTTTTTACTTACTAATAATTGTTGACATCTTTTACTTACACTTGAAAGGGTTTGATTTCTGGCATACTCAAGTATATAAGAATGGCTAAAAATCTTGAAGAAAATCCGCTTGGATCAAAGACTTGTTCTTGTACAGATATCAATAAATATACCTGCAAAAAATCTAAAATCTGCCTTTTCAACACATTTTAGCTTAATACACATTATGTTCGTGGACCCCAAATATATTCTCATTCATATGAACACATCTGATGCGTTTCAATTACCTAATGTTTGAAATATTTCTTAAATTAAGCAGATCCTGTATGTCAGAAATATCCCTTATCCTGCTGTGTGCTTTACATGCACTCTTTTGTAGAAGAGGAACCCTCACAATGTGATCTCCATTGTGTGGCACAGAGTATGATTGTGATTGAAACGTGGTGAATACTGCCGAAATAGGGGCAGCTTGTAAGTGTATTCATAACGTTGAAGTTGGCTTGCAAACAGAAAAGGATGTATAAATTGAGCCGTCAAGCATTTCAGTGAATGCATGTATCAGATCCGATTTGAAAAAGCAGCATTTTGTAATAAAATTTGTAAGGCCCAATGCACGAATGAGCTCTTGAGTGTAGGCCAGATTCATGCAGAGAAGAAAAAAAGCACTAGATGACAGCACATAGTGGGTTCTGCTTGGTCTGTTTGTAGGTTCCTTGATGCTTGAAGCACGTGAATGAACCTGCAAAAAACAAATGCATTAACAATTGAAGGCATGATGGCAATACAAGTATTAATGTCAACTAAAGTAGTTTGAGGGTTTTGTCAGTGCACATTTGGCTTTCCAGTCAACCATATCTTCATTGTCATGCCGAACGCCTGAGTTCGATTCCCTACATATGCACAATGTGTGAAGCCCATTTCTGGTGTCCCTCGACATGATATTGCTGAAAGATTGCTAAAAGCGGCTTAAAACCCAACTTACTCAACATTGTGGGTTGAATGTGAGATCTTCATATAAGAAGGGGTTGGGGAGACTACGTTTAATCTGATGTTTCCACTTGTGTCAGGATGTTGCTGTTGATGTGGCTGATGTCATGGATGCATGGGGACTAGGAAGGTTCTATGGCTGAGTGGGTTAGACGGCTAACTTTTTGTGTGCTGGTGATTAGGTGCCTGACTGAGCGTGTGGGTTCGAATCCCAGATGGAATTCAACCCAACAAAAGTGCCAGAATCTGTACTTTACTGATAAAGTGTAATCTCATCACGTTACAGCCGTGGTGAATGTTTTCTAGTAGGTTATTTATGTCACCTCGACTGACGGTTATATTTTTTCTCTTTGCAGCCATGGAAGAGACCACTGAAAGGAATGGCTTCACTCCTATTAAACTACCTCCTAGTTCCGGCCCAAGACCACATCGTTGTGATGTCTGTCAGCGTTCCTTCCGAGAGGTCGCCACCTTGAGGAAACATGAACAACTTCACCGAGCTGACAGACCCTACGTGTGTTCGACATGCGGCAAGTCCTTTCTGTGGTCCTCCAATCTCAAGGTGCATGAACGAGTTCATACGGGTGAACGGCCATACAAGTGCAAAATCTGCCATCGTTGCTTCACACAGTCAAATGATCTGCGTCGCCATGAGCGCAATGTCCACATGCGTGGCAAGCTTTACGGGTATAAAAGCGCTGGCAGACCAAACAGTCATGTTAACCTTGCTGCCTACCAAGCTTTCGCTCTCCAACAGAGGGCGCTTTTACAGCAAGCACTGACATATGAGAGCTTCATGCAGAATGCGGCTGCTGCATCTCATGTAAACTCCTTCCATCCTCATCCTCAGCAAGTGATGGTACAGAAACCGCATGAAACAATGTCTACCTCAGTCCCTAATCACAACCCCAAGGAATCTACCTCTGTGAGCCCAATCAAGTTGGAGCAAGTAACACCTCCCTCGACTCCAAGCGAGACGGATCCGGAAACACGAAACGGCCTGGAAAAGCGCTCCCTGTCCACAACCTCCCCACACACCTCGGACAGCCTTCAAAGCCCACTACCTTCCAGCTACACACCTCTGTCTGCTGGTTCTGCAGGTATGATACAGTCACCTCCCCTACTTATGGCTTCATCTGCACCTCCAATGACATACGGGAAAGAGGAATACAGTAAGAATTGCTATTCTCCCTCGGTTCTGCAAGCTCGCAGAGCAAGCGAAAATGGTTATTCTCCGTACCACTATGGAAACGGCAACCTGTCACCTCATGGCTATGTGGCTAACCAACACAATCTACCTCAGGCCCATGGTCACATCACAACCTCAGAGAGCAGTCCGTCACAGCAAGAAGACAAGACGTCTTCCTGTGACAAGGTAATGGACCTCAGCATGGGGAGCAAGAACAGCAGCGAGAACCACGAATCGGACCTGGATGATGTAGAGTTGAAGGCCAGTAATGGAGAACACATGCCACCGCCGAAGACTCCCAGCGTGGAGTCGGAGTGTGACGGGAAGCGGGATGTGACAACTACCTCAGCGAGCCCGATGGCCGACTCAGGGATCCACCACTGTGAGCACTGCAACATATTCTTCTATGACTTCACGATGTACCATCTGCATCAGAGTCTGCACTCCCCATACGAAGAGCATCCCTTCTGCTGCCCGTCCTGCCAGAAGCGTTGCCAGGACCGGATTGAGTTCATGTTCCACATTGTATGGCATGTCAAGTACCCAAACACCATCCCAAACTATCAGCCCTTCAAGGAGAGTTACCTCACTTCGTGAGAAGCCCTCTGCAACAAGTGGTAAGTTCTAATTATTTGGGAGTCTTCTTTTCACCAAATTTATATGTTCCTCTGTATGCTTTGTATTTCTTGTCAATTGTGATTACTGTAGCATGTGAATGTAGCCTTTTTGTTGCCTTTTCTGCCACAATTCTCTGCAAAGTTACATACCGTAGACTAGACAATAGAGTTACAACCCTTAGACATAAGAGACTCCTATGATAAAGGTATCTAATCCCCTATTTACCTGAATTTTAATTCTTTCTCAGCATCATACCTGTGCTAATTGTTTCACATCAAACCAGTATTATGTTTTCCTCCCAAAATGTAGCTGAAATGCTGTCAGGAAACTGAAATACTGTTGCTCGCCGCCCGCTCATCTCTCACCGCTCATCTCAACCTCAGTCACCTTAACCTCACTCACTCACTCACTCACTCACTCACTCACTCACTCACTCACTCACTCACTCATCCAGGTCACATAAATAGGTTTCCCAATACTAGTTCCAATTAAAATAGTTTATTGCGCTATCTAAAGATGATATACTAATTTGCAGTGAAATGTAAATTAACCCAGTAAATGAACTGTGACTCAAGACATTGGACAGAAGAATAAGAATGGTGAATGTTATTTATTTCAGCTTGATCAAGGTAAAATTTGTAAATTATCTGCCATTTACATTAATTACTTTCTTGTAAGACCGCCAGATATGAAGGAAAAGGATTAAGTCATTAGCCCTCCTTGAAGGATAACGTTTTGAATTACATGACATCAAGAAAATACAGAGGTAGTGTGTCTCCTTGCTGAAAGAAATTAATAGAATTAGGTCTGTTTAATGTGATATTAACCAGCAGGATAAGTCAAAAGGTATTGACTGGGGAATTGAAACATATTACATTTCATCATAAGGACAATAATTTCAAACTGATTTGATTTTGAGTGGGTCTTGTGTCATGTCAGGTCGCTTTAATGGTGATTCATAAAAGAGGAGTAGAGAACTTTGCTTTGCTGGGTTATAGTCGAACCTCCATTGCATGTAGTTGGTGTGTGATTTCCATTGCATGTAGTTGGTGTGTGATTTGAGTCATTTGGAGTGACTGACTTTCCCTCGAGGAATTCAGTTATCTCGCATTGGTAAAATCAAGTCTTTCAGTGTTGAGACATGGAACAATATTGGAAGAAACACTACAATTGTTAAAAATAACTAGTTACGAAACTATCACCACTCGAGAAATAACTACACCAACTTAGAGAAAATCAATAAATGACCTTCAAGGATTCATTTGAGTTTCCTCGTGGAAGTAGTTATTCCTGCTGTGTGTTCTTGTGTGATGTATGGTGTACATGGACAGACACACAGAGACTGACACAAGTTGGAAATGATGAGTATAAGGCGTGAGGGATTGTAGAATTTTGTCCAGACCGTGATAAAACCTGCATGCTTCCCAGTATAGTTCTTACTGTAGAAAATGCTTCATTTATTGCTATAATATGAGTCACCTGCCAAGGGGCCGGTGGGGTAGCCTAGTGGTTAAAGCGTTTGCTCGTCAGGCCGAAGACCCGGGTTCGAATCCCCACATGGGTACATTGTGTGAAGCTCATTCCTGGTGTCCCCCGCCGTGATATTGCTGGAATATTGCTAAAAGCGGCGTAAAACCAAACTCACTCACTCACCTGCCAAGTCAGCATGTCTGTCTGTCCGTCCAAAATTATTCAATGATCTGCTGGAAACGTTTTCAATTGTACCTATCTGGTTTGTAGTCATTCTGCCTGTCAAACTGTTATGATACAAGCTTTGAGTCCAAAGCAAAATACATCAGCCATCTTTTCCAAGGGAGATCACTCCAAATAAACCATAAGTGATACTACAAGTGATCAAGTTGACCCAGATAGATATCCAGTTATTTTTTAGTAAGCAAGATACTCCTACACAGTTCATGTACAAGTTCAACTTCGGCCATTCCCATTTGCCTCTGATGGTATCTGCAGTTGAATGTCACCTTCTCATATACAATCCCTTAATAACTTTGAGATGACAAATGATGATTAAGTATTCATCATAATTATCATAATTAACATACTTGGATATTAAATTTTCATTAAAATCAAGAGATAAACTCTGTTTATACATTCCGTCAAAGGTACTTGTTATACATTCTGTAGTCCAGTCCTCAGCCCAAGGTATTGATCCTGGTAACAGAGTATGAAGTCTACATTTTGGGGGTATTGCATAGTGTAAAACCCAAACCACCCACTCCAGTGTATCGTGAATGAACAAGTATCAATTATGGACGAACCTCATTTATTTGGAATCTTGACAAAGTTTTTTCAGGAAGTAGTAATCATTTCATTCTGTTAGATACCGCGTGTCCTAATACTTGCATAATTTTGTATACATTCTCTCGCTTTCTCTCTCTCTTATTTGTGGGGGCGGTGGGGTAGCCTAGTGGTTAAAGTGTTCACTCGTCATGCTGAAGACCCGGTTTCGATTCCCCAGATGGGTACAATGTGTGAAGCCCATTTCTGGTGTCCCCTGTGGTGATATTGCTGGAATATTGCTAAAAAAAAAAAGCGGTGTAAATACTAAACTCACTCACTCTCATTTGAGATGCATTAAACTTTCAGTCACTCACCTGTGATGCATTAAACTTTCACTTTAATATGCTGGATCTGTGACGTCTGTAGACCAGTGACATAGCTGGTGTTTGTTAAAATATCTGTCATGGCTGCCTCATTATCCCAGTGAAATACTTCAGAATTCCTATTGATTTCGATATTTTGTTTCTTTTTCAGGCTGGTCGTGCAAGATGGGACGTAAAAGCAGGAAAGTCTTACTTTGAGTGTGCAACGGAGCTAACTCACATGGCACGACTAGGGACAAATGACAGGCATAATTGTGTTTGCATGATGGAAAGGAAAATATGGTGCATTTATTATACAAAATTTTCTTCGAACTGTCATATTAGATGTTATTCTTTCTGTCCGTTTTGTTATGCTAGTCATAGTAACAATAACTTGCCATGTCTAATTACTATGAATTCTATTAATTGAAGAGTTCCTTGTTCAAGGGAGACAATCATGTATTGGTTGAACTTGTATTTTTAAGGAGATGTAACCGAAAATGCAAAACATAGGTGTTTGGTTGCAAGATTACAGTGATAAAACATGGGAGCGGTGTCCCTTTTGTACATGTTTTGGTGTGCCATTAGAAATTTGTTTACACTATGGAGTGAGATTTCATGAATTTTGTGGTTCCGGTGTCTTGTTTACGGAGAAGTAAAAATTATCTGAGATGGTTGTCTTTAAAGTTAGTTGTACTAGCAACTACCGGTGAGAGAATACTTGACACTGAGCTTTTGGGTTGAGATTCATAATGATGGAAGTTTTAGTATCCCCCATTTTATTGTGTCTTGTCAGTTTCTTGTTTTCCGAATGAATCCATTTTGTTTTGTGTTTTGTTTTACATTCTCTGCCTTTTAGCCAGGGACGTACATTACTAAAATTTCACGATATTTCCTTGACCCTGTCATGAACAGTGAGTACCTCAGTGTAACGATTTTCCTGCATTTGAAGCTACCTCAAAGATGTTTTAGGAATTTTGTTATTTAAAAAGTTTAATCATGAATGAAGTACGGGTACTCATAACTATCAGAAGTTGATATGCTCATTCTTCAGTGGATGCACTGGGAACAGTGGTCTACCCCTGTACAAAGCTTTCAAAAGTCAGCTGTTTTAGTTTCTTAACGATATTAACACCACATATTTTCTTTTGTTTATTGCATCTTGTTTTTCAACAAATTGAATATTTTATATGAACTGAGGAAAGGTTTAATTTTTTCCTATTATTCATTATTATTCTATTTCTTTTTAAGAAATACATTCTTACATGGTGTGGTTGTTTGTTCATAACATTCAAAATGAATTATACTATCTTAAAATTCCTGGTAGGCTATTTCCACTTTTATTGAGCTATGTTTCTGATTGTCAGCTTAAAGCCATGTCATAGGCAACAGTAAGTATGTGGTTACAGTCTATGAATATATTCACAATAACCATTCATACTTTCAGGGTTGAAACAGTATGGAAGCAAATGTTATTTTTGGATGGTTGAATAATCAAGATTGGTTAAATTCTAAATTTACATACGAATATGTATATTTACTTTTTAAAGTATTCGTTGATGAAGATAATGTTCTTTTATTAAAAAATATAAAAACCTTGCTACTTTATGTGCCATTGTATAAAATAAAACCCATTTTGGTGCTTATACCAGTTTACTGGTATTTCAAACAAACCATCCTAGAAAACAGTTTTGTGAAATACTGTCCTTCCTTTGATTGAAATGTTCTCAGTTGTTGATAATTCCTTACCGTTCCATTATATCCCTAAGCTCATGATCCTATTCATTATCTCATACAAATAAACATTCTGAACAGGGCTTGTGTTCAAGCCATGCACTTCAGGGAGTTTCAAAGCAAGCATAACATACTCTCAGTGAGATTCAGGTTACCTCTGTCCTTGTGTGAATGAAGAACTACTACATCTACAAACTAATTATCACCTGGAAGTAATTTCCCCAAGATCTCTTGCATATTTGCTAACTAGTAATACCTGTACTTGTCATCCATGTTAATTCCAGACTGATGTATGGCTGGATGTGTCGTCATAAAAAAGCAGGAAACTGTAGCAACAGGAATTTGGCCCCCAAATAATAAAAGGCCAGGCAGTTTGTTGAACTTGTTTTTCTGATTTTTCATCTTTTGAATTAAAGTGACAAAGTTCCCAAAACAATTTAAGTGCTGGCTTCCATTTGCTGTCCATTAAAGATGATAGCAATGATATTTTATTTTCTTGATTAAGCTAACATGTTCATTTTATTCTTATATTTAATTTTGAAATAATGGATGTTAAATTCAATTATTCTAAGTAACAAGTACAAATTGTCTGGCCTTTTAATAGTTAATGATGTTGGAGTACAACTTACCTCATTATTAAAATACTGTTAACCTAATATGCAAAATCTCACATTTTTGACACACCAAGAATCAATTTATACACCATGTGAAATTTGTAATCTAAGACATATTTAATGTTTTCATTCTTTAAGAGGATGTAATCAAAATTATGATTATGGAATAGCTGTGTGAAATAAGTTGCTATTTAACATCAGGAATTATGTAGCATCTGCTGTAAGACTGTTATGTTGTCAAGGTAACTTGGCTCACCTGATGTGATCGAGTGAGCATGTGCCGGCATCTCTCGTCATTACCCACAATGCACTGTTCTTATTCTTGATCTTCCTATGTACCAATATTTTATCGTTGATGAAATGCTTGCAACTTCATATACAGGTTAGGTTAATGGAAAATATTAGCAGAATGTTGCAGGTATGAATCAATTGAGGCAAATGTCTAATGTACTTTTGAACATACAAATATTATTTTATGATTAATACATTGACTTCATCTTGTCTTCGATCTGGCATAAGCTAAGGATAGTCCATCTTCAATTACCTGATCTTCATAGGTTTGTTTGTAGTTACATTTTATGGAACCTAATAATTTAATTTATTTTTCTTTTCAACGTAAATTTGAATAAAAGTATCATATAATATATATTGGGTATTTTAATGATAAATAAAACTTGATGAAATTCTCATGGAAGTAGAAGTAGTACTTTTAATGGAAATACTTATCGCAGTCTCATGTGTTGAGACTTTAATGCATTTCAAGTTTTCATACGTAAATAACCTGGTTCAGGTTTTCATTTTGACTATGAATTTTGAGGTGAGCTTCATAACCTTAAGCAAGATAAGTGTATTTGATTGTTACCCAGACTGTCATACCTCAAATTTATAGGTAATATATTAATATAACTTATTTTTAAAATGTTTTCTTTTTTTCTTATTTGTGAAGTCCTCAGGAATATACCATTCATCATTGAGCTCAGGATCATGAAACTTAATTCCTTTAAGGGTGCAGGGCTGCCAACAATTCAGGGAGAATCACAACATAGCTTTATGAGAGTATTTTGTGTCATATTTTCAACAACATTAATTGAAATGATTTCATAATGACATATATTAATATGGTTGTCTTCAGTGATAGGAAGCCTGTAGTGATTGTTGAAATTCAGGAATATTATGCGGTTTAGTTTTCAAATGCTATTTAATCAAATATTTGTGCTAAAAATTAAATATTTAAATTTTGTGAAATTTTCAACTTCTTTTTTAATTGTAATGAGTATAACAGTACTAATTTTCTTACTCAAGATCTATTATAGAGTAGAAACATTGATATTAAGATTTGTTTTCAAATGAGAATGTGGGCTTACTTTTAAATTGATGTTGATGTTTATTGTTAACGTTTTAAACATTGGTGTCATGATGTTATAGAAACAATCTTTATTCAAATTCTTTACTATACAATAGAGTAAGTTTATCTGTCAATTAATTTGAAGTGTGTTCTTAACTACCTCAATTTCCTCATCAAATTACCATGAAAAGTGTTTAATTTCTTTGAATTTCATGAAGAGTAGCACTGTCCTGTTCCATGTTTGATGTTATTTGTAGGTGTGTCCTATTCATAACAAGCATAGTTGACAGATATTTCAATATCTTAAGTTGGGCCTATCCCCAAGTGGAGAGTGGTAGCGCTGTTTGATCTCAGTGTAACCCTGTTCCTCTGTGTTCTATCTTTCTGTGGATATAGAGTAAGGTGTTTGTACATATCCTGACCTTTCTCCAACACATGGACGAAAGAAACTTGACCTACCTCAGAAAATTTCAAATGAATTTCAGGTATTTTCTTTCCTTTGTTTATGTCTGTAGATGAATCTAGTATATTGCATCTCTTCTAGAGCATATGTGCTTTTAGTGTTGAAGAGAAATGCTTGTGAATATATGCTGATTGTTTGTATTTCAGTTTAACTGAACTCCATGGTAACGATTTAGAGTTGATTGTAGTTTTCGTAAAGGATAATGAAGATAATTCTCACTTACCTGTGTAAGTGTCTTTAAGTATATAATTTAGACATTTTGATAATAAATCCATCCATCTGAAATCGTGCTCATTTCTGTTCAGGATGGTGCCACTTTCTCTGTTTTGAAGAGAGAGTTATAATTATAAGCTGCAGTTACCATGGATACATAGTTGCTGATTGACCAACATTTTAGTGTTTGCATCATGCATAGTGCTGTATAATATACGCTACTTACCTTCTGTTTGACATTTCAACTTGCATTTTGTGGAAACACCCAAAAAAATATTTGAACACGTGTCTATCTCTATGTGTATACCTGAACTGTTTTGTGCTGTAGAGTTGTAACATTGTAGTTTGTGCTATCTTGCTCAATGATACCGTGATGCAAATAGCATAAGATTTTGGAGGATTCTCCAAGTTTTATTTACCATTGTACTGTTTGACTATTTTCTTTGTTGTACAACTTGTAACTGAAATGTCAAGTTAGGTTCACTGGCCGGTCAAATCTAACTAACAGCCATATTATAAAATTACCACATTTTGTTAAACTGCTTCTCGCACAGTGAATGTTCCAGGTTTCTAATCAGCCTCACAGGAATTAGCTATTATTTTAATATTTGCTGACCTTTGAAGTTTAACACCTTATAAGTATGAGTCTTAAGGCCTATATTGCATGTATACCAAAGACTAGGCCTGCATTGTTCTAATGGTGTTGTTATGGTGACAGTGGGTATGTAGGCCCTTGTCATAGTGAATATGGTTGGTTGGCCAGCCTGTTGTATACGATCCCATTGTTCCGGTAGGGGTTAAATACAGCATGCTTCTATGCCCTGCCAGGGACTGTCTGTCCTGTGCTCACATAGACTACACTTCATTGCAATTATTTTCTTGAAAGATGATTAAATGTAACTTACGAGTAAATCTGATTTCCAAATTTGAATGCCTCTTGCAGAACTGGAAAATAATTTCCTGAATTCGATTACATTTTGAGATTTTATTTTTGAATTTTGAATGATTTAATTTTTGCATGAGTGTAGATCTATAATCAAATCAAATGTATAGCCCATTGTGGCATCTCTCAGGTTAACAAAAATCAGGATTGATTTACACATATAACTATATAGAAATACCTCTCTTGTACATGGTACTGTGTGTTCCATATTATAGATTTATGTATTTTACCTTACCTGTATTTACGATGATATGTCAATTGTGTACATTGGTCTACTAGCAAGGCTATGTGTAACCTTTTCTGCTTCCTAGAAGGCTAGGTTTATTGATATTTATGGCTTTTACTAGATACTAGCTGTTTCTATTCCCTGTGAGACAAACACTGTTAGAAAAGGGAAAGTGGTGTACAGAGACTTGAAGGAAGGACGGGGATATCCTTGTCTTACCAAGGGAGATAACTATGTTTGTATCACAGGTGAGCTTGTGCATTTACATTCGTGATACTTCAAGTAGCTCAGCGGTTCAAGTCTTGAAAAATATGCATTTGTACAGTTATGTGTATTTGTGTTGTCTAGTATGCTTCATCGCGTGTTCCACATCATCATCATCTGTCATAGTTTTTGTAGGTAGCTTGTGATACATCCATAGGGCATCAATAGTGCTACATGATCAGTCTTGTTCTGGGGAACAAAGTGCACCAATGTTCAGTGGGAGGTGATACTGTTCAACATAATCAACATGCATTCAGCACCATGAAACTTGATTACTCACAAGTAATGAATTAGATTTAAAATCTATTGAACTTCATTCCTAGTCAATTTGGACTTGATTTTTTTTTTCATCCAAATCAAACTTTTTTCAAAAGTAGCACTTTCAACAGAATGTCAAGAGTCTCATGTCGTTTTTATGTGACAATAGAGCAATCAGCAAGCCTTCGTTAAATTGGAAGCTGTTCATGAGAATACGTTTGGTTGCAGCAAGTTGATTATTTAGGGCTTAAGGAATACTGTTACATCCTTGGACTTGGGCACCTGAATCTATATACTTATATTATGACGTACATGAATTTGATTTCTTTTTTTAATTTTGGACCTGTTACTTGAAGCAGTATGACTGGAACATTAGTATGTTGGTATGATGGTTAAGGACGACTGTTGGACTGGTGTCTTTATTTCACAGAACAAGCCTGTATCTATGATTACGAGTTCATTCATGATCATTGTGTATATGTCATCAATAATCACATTGTACCTGCCTCAGAGTCATTCACCTCTCAGTTGGTGTTCTCAGAACGCATTAAGTCGAACAGTGGCTATTCTCGCTGTCTAATGAATTCAGGGCGTGATTGGAGCATGGCCAAATGTTTGTGAATGAAAACCGGTGAATGAGAGGTCTTTTATAGGGCAGGCCCCCTTCAGTTGATTTGTTACAGAAACCCTTGGAGGACAGGCTTTTGTTTTCCTTGTGTTCCATCAACCTGATAATCCCAGTGGATAGCTTAAGAAACGAGCTGATTCAAAGAAATGAAATCATCCTTTTTGTTTCAATGTATTTTAGGGTTTTTTCTATAACCTGTGGTTACTTTGTTAGAGTTATTGAATAATTGGGGTACAACCAATGTGGGAACATATCTTGACACTGGTTCCTCTGAGATTGTTTTGGTGTTTGTGAAACAACAGATTTGTTAATCAATATATTTTGCCTTTTTTTTAAATATAACCTTTTGATTACCCCCAGTAATTTGAAGAAGTCTCTCCAGACCTGTTTATTTTACGCATTTTGTTTGGTTGATTTTTATTGAGTGAGAGAGAGTGGGTAAATATGTTTCCTTCAGCTGAACCAGCCTCATGTTTTGATGAAGCCATGCAAATTTGGTTTCTTGTTTTGCTCATCAACCATTTGGGAAAAAAATATGATGGAAACCCTGACGAAAAACAAGCTGTGGCCCAATTAACAGGCAGCTTCCTCAAATATTATGTTTTAGTTTCATTTGCAAGAGTGACAAGATGATTTCAAGGCAGCAGATTTCTTCCCTCCTGCGTGTTTTGACAGTGACAACTGCCAAAAGGCCTTTGATTAACTATCTCTTTAAGCCAAACCGGCTATTAGATGTTCCAAATTTCCCTCCATGCTTTAAGATTTTTAACAAATGAAATCTTTAATGATATTATCAACTTGATCTTACATGATCAGTTCTAAAAAATAGGGGAAAAGATAAAATATTAAGTTTGTGACAGTTAATTTTATTCATGTCAACTTGAAATTTGAGTTGCAGTTTTTCGTTAATCATTGAATTACTTTTGTCTAAATTGATAAATTCCTGGCAAAGGTTTTGAACTTTGAATTTTGTTTGGGTTGGTGCAGCTGAAGATGAATGACTGTGGGTGTTTTTTCATGTTCAATACTCAGTTATTGTTTATTTTCAGACATGAGCAATTTATCAATGTATCAAAATTGAAATGCATCATGGCGCTGATTTTGTTAAGAAATTGATTTGACAAGCGTTATCAGTCCTATCCAGGCTAGATGACCTGATATGCCTGTCTCAACATATTCTACCATGTGTCATATTCCTGTTAGAGGTTCTCAAAAACCAGAAATCCTTGTAAGTCTAGTTCCGCTAGGACTCTAAATGCAGACAGTTGATTTTGATCTCTGAATAGCAAGAGGCATTCAGAAAAATAGTTGATCCAAAACTGGAACTGATTCAGAACTAAAATTGTACATTTGTGAATTTTCTGAAACCAAATTATGACTTAATTAGTTATGATTGTGTGAGTCATGAGTGAGGTCATGCTAGAGAGTGATGTTAGCCTGTCAGCTTCATTAGATATCAGTTGTAGATGTAGACTGTGAGTTGTCATGCTTCCTGTATAGAGGCTTCTGTAGGCTGTCATGCTTGTGCAATCCAATAGTGCTTTCTGTGTTCACATAATGTTTGTGTAGCTTATTCAGCATCTTGTCCCATCAGTAAAGACAATGGTCATTGTTTGTTTCCATATTCGGCCTGATTTGGTGACGACAACTACAACCACAGGCTTTGATTTGTATTGCTATTGGCATTGAATAATGAAGTATTTTCTAAATGGTCAGTTGGACCCGGTGACTTATGAAAATATCTTGGTGTCATGGGTGTTTTTCAAGGGTTGAGTTTAAATTTTATGAAAACAACCATTGACCGGTGAATGACCACCACTTTTTGCGGAAGATCGGTGCCTGAATGTGATCTATGACCTGTGATCAGTGTCAGGAAGACGGAGGGACAACATGTTTCGTTTAATCAGAATTCTTGACTTGAATCCGTGTATTGTAGTGGTATACATGCATACTGGTACTATATATAGTATATATAGCTTGTACAGTTATAACCTCACTCCTGGATATACCAGTGAATTCTCCCATCATGTTAGGACTATGCACTAATGAGGAAGAGTCCATTTGGATTTGTGGGTGTTTGGGAGTTGAAGCTGTGGTTGCCATATTTGAGTATATGCTAGATATTGGTACATTTACAATGTAGTCGCGTAAGTGTGTTTGTCTTACAGATTCTCTTGCCTATGATATCGCACAACATTTGCTCAGTATACTATGTTTCTTGTTGCGATTCAATGTATTTTCAACTCTTTTGAAAAATTGCATTGTTTAATTGTTCCTTGTTAAGCCTTCTCCATGTTTGAAATGTCAACAATATTTCTCTTTTATTTCAAATCCATACAAGAACTGTTTTCCTCAAGCTCATAGTCACAATTACCGAAGTACTGCAAAAAATCTATCGTAGCCATTTTGGTTTTAGAAGGGTTATTGAAATGAATATTTTAGAACCTTATTTTCCTTCATAATATATGCCTTTGATTAGTGTATGTGAGCACTATTGTGTGGTTACTTGTTCAGACTTCTGACCTTGCTCACATTCATGCTCAGCAGCAACTTACCATTCAAGTTGGCATTCAAGGGAATGCTTGAGGAAATCTGGTTTTGAATCTTGTTTTTCTATGGATTTCTCCATGTATGTGTGTGTTCAATGTTGCATCTCAGGAGTACCATTTTGGCTACATAATACACTCATAAGACATAAAATCAAATAAATCAAGCTGTCAGTTTGAAGCCTCCATACCCACAAATGTCACTCCCTCCATGCCTACCTTCTATTGACAACCATACTTCAGTCAGATATAGTTGAAGAGCCAATCACATTGTCAGTTGATTTTCAGTTCACAATTCAAAACGGGTACTAGGCAGTAAGTCATTTATTTGATTTTGTGGTCTTGAACTTTCTGACGAGCTGGAACATATACAAGTGCTATAGAACATCCTCCATACTTTGTATGGGTTGTTTATGTGAATATATATCCTGCACCAACTGGTGGTATGGAGTTTCAGCTCGGACATTTCTACTTTCAAATTCTCATATTGATGGATGCATTAAGCCAGCATCAGACAAGTTGTGACAAGTCAGGGGCAGAGCTGAAGGAGTTGATACTCAGTACAAATGTCTTATATGAATGTGAACAAGCATTCTCCTATACCAACAGCTGTGCATGCCATGTCTTTCAAGACAATATCAGCAAGTCATCTCACGCTTTCCATTCCTCCAGCTCATTCTGAGTTTGGCCTTCCATCCACCCTGCTTACACCCACTGCCTGATGGCTTCCTCATTCCAGCAGTGCCTCCATGTTACCAATGTCCTCCAGCACCTGCCCTGCCCTGCCCTGCCCTGCCCTGCCCCATGCCCTGCCCTGCAGTCCATATCCTTGGCCTACACCTGTAACAATCCTGTGTATGTAACATTTCATCAAGAGCTGCCAGTCCAGTGAGTAATGTGGCACCTGCCTCACCATGACCTGTAAAGAATCTGTTTAGACAACATTTCCTCAAGAACTCCTAGCCCAGTCTCAAGTTATCAATCCTGCCCATCCATATCACCGAAAGCCGTGTATGGGCAATGCTTCAGCTAGAGCTGCTTTTCCAGTCTCCTATTCCCAACCTGCCCCTCTGTATCGCCAGAGACCCTGTGTAGGCAATGCTTCAGCTTGAGTCCCTGTTTCAGTGTCATATCCTGGTCTTGCTCACATCACTCTGATGCTGTGCTGTCAGCTTCCATCCTTCCTTTTGTGGTAGTGTTCATATAGTGAAGTGAGTGCATTCACTTTGGGGAGGTTCTGTTTGATCCCAGTGCTGCCACCTGGTTGAATTGATGAGCACATCTACATACCTATGTAATGATTACATGTTTCGAAATTGGTTGTTTTGCAAGAAATATCATGTAAAGGATACATATTACACTCATTATTGTTTTACTTGAAAAATTATATTAATTGCTGTTAATTGGCAAGTTGAAAAAAATTCCTCAAGCTACGTGGCAGCATGGAATCAAGGGAGAGAACTAGCCAGATCTCTTGTTTATTATTTGACGTATTATGAAACGGGTGCCATAGATGTTAGGCAGCTTATGCATCATCTCTGCCTTTCCTTATTATTTGTTGTTTCTTCTTATTTACTATGTTTGTGTGTGCTTGATTTGCTGCCAATACGTCTCATCTTGTAATGGGGACCATGTTTGGCTACTTACGAAATTAGGCCTCATTGAAAGCTCTCTTCTGTCTTAACACTGCTGACTTTAATTCTGTATTTATGAAACAATTCAGGGATGATATGATTGACTTGAAGTCACCAGTATTTGGTCAGTGTTTTTGGTATTTATTGTTTTGCAGCTATTGACAGCAAATCAAGCTTATATTGTACACCTTGTAGTTTTGTGTGCTTCACTATTATTTTGTCCTCAAAAACATGAGGTTCTACACATGCTTTGCAAGGAACATTAAGATCAGGAAAATCTGAACTCAGAAATTATCATTATATATAGGTATAAAACTCACCAAATTGGATCTGGTATTAATTGGATATGCAGAAATGAATATATTTTAAGCCGTGCTGTTGAGCTGAAATGAAAATAAGGATTTAATCAGGAAATTTAATCAGAACTTCGTGTTTTTGACAAACGTAACATTCTGTACTTAAAGGGCATTCAACCTGTAAATCTAATGGTGATGGTTGTCAATTGTGCTTCTGTTTCATTCAGTGGATGAGGGTAACTCATACATTGATATGCTTAACAAATATGTACAATCATGAAATCACAATACTAGTATGTGCTTTCAGTGATGTGCCCTTTTGGTGCAGATATGTTAATTGTTACCTTAATTAGAGTGATTGTATATAATTTAAATTCAAAGTATGCATTCTTATGTGTGGATATATCAAGAAAGATAAGACTGTTGTCTGAATTCAGCTGACGTGTAGTAATTCTTTCGGAGTCTACCTCATGTTACTACTTCAGGGTGTGCACGGGCAGTTGTTTCAGGTTTCAACAGGGAAAAGATAGGGACTAGTTGACAACCTTGTCACATCCCTCCTTTGATGAATTTTATTATTGAATGTCACTCTTAGTTTTATATAGGTTTTAGTTTGTATTACTCTTAGGGATCAGCTAACATTGTAGTTTTTAATATTGTTATTACTCTGATAAATGTGCATTTTGCTGCCTCACTCGGTATTTACATTTATTGTTACTTGTAATAGTTAACAACATAAAGTTACTCTTAACCATCTTCTTGTGTTGTTTTCATGGGCAATGCATATACTTCAACTTGAAGTTTGCGCTTAGTTGAAAAAAATTGTTCATCAAATAGACAGTGAGAGACCAGATGAATCTCATAGTTGGCACTGTCTTTGTTACACGACTACAGCAGGCCACCAGTCTTGTCCCCAGTGTCTCACTTAGGGTGGGAATCGACACATTTCCTCTTTCTACAGTTACAGCAGCTGTTGTGACCTCTGATGGATTTTGGCAAGACACGCCCGCTGCACAACGGTTGGAAGGCAGACTCATGTGTTAAAGTTGCGCACGCACGCACGCACACACACACGCACACGCACTGTTACCACCTAATTGTAAAACCTGCATATCTTCAGGCGCTCCTGAAAAATAAATCTCATACGCTGTGATATTACAGAAATATTTTGATATTTCAAAACGGCGCTAAACCAGACTCATGCTCATAGTCTTAATATTCGTACAAACGTGGAGCAAATAGACGAGCCTTTTACAACGGCCAAAGCGTGGTTACACGCAGTTTCATTACATTTCTGTACATCAAAGTGTAATTCAAAGACGCGATTTGGTCGTTTCATTGAGTAACAAGGAAGACAGTTTGGGGCACCGTGAACGTGTATGCAAGTCTTGCCGTATGTCTACACATGAACACTCCATTACCAATGATGATTTCCTAGTATTAGCGTTGATGATGATGTCTAGATTTAGAATTTGATTTCATGCAGATCGATTGATTGCTTAAATTCACCACGTCAAAGCCTTGACACGGCTGGTACTCTCGTATCAGCCACTGACGTGTAAAAGATAGGCTGGGACGACACTGCCAACAATTACATCCACACTTATACTCTCAGTACATATTCATCTGATCCAGGGGCGGTAGGGTAGCCTAGTGGTTAAAGCGTTCGCTCGTCACGCCGAAGACCCGGGTTCGATTCCCCACATGGGCACAATGTGTTAAGCCCATTTCTGGTGTCCCCCGCCGTGATATTGCTGGAATATTGCTAAAAGCGGCGTAAAACTAAACTCAGTCAGTCAGTCATCTGATCCAGGTTGTTGTCCTGTAGCTGGGGCATTTATGCGGCATATACCAACATTCAGTCAGCACGTCATCGCCCTGTAACCAGTACTGGTGGAGTTACGTTTCTTCAATATACTCCTGTCCTATCGGTCGACACCAGGGCCTAGATTTTCGAAGCTCTCTTATCGCTAGGAAAGTCGTAAGTGCCATGCATTAACGTTAACTTACGACTATCTTAGCGCTACGAGAGCTTCGAAAATCTAGGCCCAGACTTGTACTGTATGTGATTCAATGAATGTTCCTCACAAGACGCACTACACTAACGTGTTGGGTCATACGATCACAGTTCTAATCTAATCTAATCATTTTGTATAACGCTGAAGGTTCCATGTTGACTGAGCTGTTCACTGGCGCTTTCACATATTCACATTATGTACACAGTATATACACGTACACAGTGGCTCTTGGTTTAGCAGTCATAGGCAAAATTGAAGAAATGGGTTTTTAGGTTTGTCCGAAATGTTGATGGCGTTTCTGATAACTTGATGTGGTCTGGAAGAGCCTTCCACACAGATGTTGCTGCGCATCTGAAACTGCGTTCACCCATAGCTGTTTTACAGCGAGGCTTGACGGTCCTGCATGTGGAGTTTGTTGGTGTTCCCACTGACCAGGTCTAAAATAACACGACCGTTACTTTAAAGCATTAATATACACAAAAAATTTAATTAAGCACCCCCTGTATTTTTGCAATAATAAGTTTTCAACAAGTACATTAAACTTCTCGTGGTGACCACGATAGAAAACCATGGAGTTTTTCTTACCCGTACGATCCTTTTGCTCATTTTAAAAAACACACACACGCTGATTTCCACACAAAACAATGTCTGTACAAGTATGGTCCTGGAATGTTTAATGTTGAATTTATTGGTAAATGTGAACATTCAAAATGTCATTTTGCGTGTCTTACACGATTCAAGGTCAATACTGAGTGTAACCTCCACGTGACTATATGACTGCACTCTCCTCCTCATACCCCCTGTCAGCCACCTGATCCCCTGAAGGGGCCGTCTACGTCATTCCTCGTTTTAAGCAGCTTCAATTGGGCCAGGTTCTGTACAGGAGGACCCCTTTGTTGCACACGACGACCAATCATGTCCCAGATATGCTCCAACGGGTTAACACTGGGGCTCATTCAGTCGTGAGATATGTCAGGGGGTGCTTAACTAATTTGTTTGTGTATAGTTTGATGGAAACTACTTGATGCATGAGACCTGTCCAATAATGCCACGTATGGCAGTGTGTTAACTATGGAAAACCCAAACCACGCAAGTCCATTCCTCTGTTATACTGGACAACTGTCTCCATTACAAAGTGAGAGATATTGGTGGGCCCAGCAAATCTACCACTGAATCCGAGACATACTGAAATCCCCAATACAGACCAGGTTTTTTTACTATATAATCACAGGCGTTTGAGACTTACATCCATGCGGTTTCTCAAAACCTCAAAGAATTGCTTGAATTGTTTGCAACCCGGAAAACCCACTTCAAAGATTTTAACTTGAAAACATGAACATGAAAAACTTCATTCTTTGCCCCATGATCGTTTGTTTTTAAATGTGGGTACCATAGGTATATCTACATCCTTTCTTCACAGGTCCAGGACAACTTTGTCCAAAGTAAAAGCATAATGTTATCTGAAGCTTACTGAGAATAGAGTATGCTGTCCTTCCACACAGATGACAACGAAAGCAAGCGAATATGGCCGCGAAGCTTAACTTGAGCTTATAGAATATGGTTCCATAATGGTCAAATAGACAACCCTCTTTCGCTGATTTACGGGCGGTGGGGTAGCTTAGTGGTTAAAGCGTTCGCTCGTCACGCGGAAGACCCGGATTCGATTCCCCACATGGGTACAATGTGTGAAGCCAATTTCTGGTGTCCCCCGTCGTGATCGGCGTAAAACTAAACTCATTCCGTTGATAAACCACAATCTTGAAATACCAGCGAAACTGATTCATCTTATTTAAATATATATTTTGATCTATGCTCAAAGGTTAACATTGACGAAGTATGACAAGATCGATGACTTCAGCTGGCTTGAGTCAACCTTCCGTCGGTTCGAGCAGTCTTTCAGCTCAGACACGTGCATATAATTTTTTAGCCGCAGTTTAGTCTATTATAACCTACAGACTGTTTCGGGGTACAGTCGAGACTGGCGTTACTCTCTGGCGTTAAGGGTTTATGTCATATTTGATGTCAACATTTCATAGTTGTTCATATAGAAATGTAATCAAGCTTTTAACCCAATTCATGGTGTACAAATAAAGGACATTTCCTCATTTCACGTTTTAGTTCCTTGTTTTTACTAACCACTTTTCCGGTGTTTGTTTCGGCGAACCACTCACTTGCCTGGCTTTGCATGTGTTTATGACGAGGCAGTATGCGCACCCTTTTAACGAATACCTCATATTATCACTACTTGATATCGTTTCACAAACACATGCTTATGATACAGCTGGGATCGTACACTAGACACTTCTCTTAGTAGGGATTTCTCAGTTAATTTAATTAAACCGAGGGGCAAAGGTAACTATATTGTTATATTAAAGTGAAAACTATTGTTTAATTTGATTACATCTATTTAGCCCACAATATTTTGTAGCCTGCGTCTGTTGAATTTTGAAGACTTTTTCAATGAAGACTTTGGTGAGATATGAATATGGAAACACGTATTTCGAAACACCCTTTCATTTTTTAAATGTTTAAAATTTGTGCCGAAAAATTAAATTGGCTTAGTTAAAAATAAGGTGTGTATGCCACCTGTCAGCATTACGGTATTATGCAACTTATCATTGTTTCTTTCTATTTTTAATAGTTTTAACTCATCATTTGTTGAAATTTAACTGAAAGTAATGTTTATGTTTTGATATAATATTGGAAAAGTAACACGATAAAAATCAACAGAGAGATGTAGTTTCAATTGTATTTAGTTCTGTATATGAGTTTGTACCCGATCCGTCGAATCTGACGTGTGTGTGTGTAGCCTACTCTCCTTGGGGCGAGCTATTCAGTCTCCATTTTAAAGCTGAAACTAATTTACTTTAGTAGATACCCATTTTCTCAGTTCTTATATATCATATCAATATATACCTTAGGCATAAATGGTATTAAGAAAACGTTTCAGAAAAACCATATACACCCAATACTTCCCGAATCAACCTACTTGTAGTCTGACATTTAAATGACAGTCTCATCAACAGTATAGGAGTGAGTGAGTTTAGTTTTACGCCGCTCTCAGCAATATTCCAGTTATATTGCTGCGGTCTGTAAATAATTGAGTCTGTACCAGACAATCCAGTGATCAACAGCATGAGCATCGATCTGCGCAACTGGGATACGATGACATGTGTCAACCAAGTCAGCGAGCCGGACCACCCGATCCCGTTAGTCGCCTCTTCCGTCAAGTGTTGTACACAGGGGGTTGAATAAATTTTGGTCGGCCATTTTGTTTTTAATCACACCTAATCGACCTGTGTGACCTAATCGACTGTTGAGCCCCATCCCTCCCCTTGCCGGCCCAGGTGTGTGTGATCTTCAGGTTGACCTTAGTGGTCTGTGATTATTATTCAGTTATCTTATGAGTTTGCCAACTCGAGTGTTCACACAGCAAAATCTTTTTTCATCGTAGAATTAATATCACACTATGTGGGGGAATTTAGCTGCTATTTATGAGGTCAAAAGTTAGATCAGAGCGCATTTTGTTAAATCAAATCACTAGCCAGTTTAAAATACGCTGTCACACAAGGAACAACTCCGAATGTATTCATATCTGTGAACAGTAAACGATTGTAGCTGTTAAAATTCATGCGCCATGTGGGCCCCTATGTGATATGCGTAAATAGGGGCGCTGTCTATGCACTAACAGCAGAATCGCTTGCTCGCTAAGCCGTAACTGAAGAGACATGTGACAGC